GAAAAAAAAATTTATTATTTCTTTTGATAAAATGCCAATGTGGTTTGACATGCCTCGAAATACAACAATTGATTTTGAAGGCATTTGTGAAGTTGCAATTAAAACTACAGAAAATGAAAAATTACGTTTTACAGTAGTTCTGGGCAATACCACATCCGGAAAAAAGCTCCTGCCTGCTGTAATTTTCAAATTAAAAAAAACCAAAAGGCAAGTTTCTATGAGATTTTGTGGTGACCACGGCACCTTGTGCAAATATGGTAGAGGATTTGATGATTTCTACTTATATTCTATGAGTTATTCAGGCTAGACCGAATAGATTCTTTAAAAGTAAAGATATAATCTTTGTCAATCGCCACCACAGTCATATTTGTGATGATGTAGTTAAAGCATTAAATATAATTTTGCTTTTCAAATGAAAAAGACAATAATTGAGTTAGAATCAGTATTAGGCAATTGGAACGTTAAACTTATAGATTTTAGAAAATATAAATTCAATTTTAATTTAAATTACTAAAGATAATTTTTTTTTGTTTAGGAAGAGTTAGACATTCTCGAGATACCCGGTGAAACTACTTGCATTTTGCAACTGCCTGATGTATCAGTAAACAAGCCATTTAAAAATGACATGATATGAAGGTGGGAAAAATTGATGGACGAAGGGAAAGGTGGGTTTACTAAAAAAGTGAACTGCAAAAGAGCATTATACGAATTGGTATGTGAATGGGTATCTGAAATGTGGAGGGAAATCAGTACAGATCTTTTGGCTAGGTTTTTTGAAGCAGCTGGGCTTACACTTAACTCTAATGGCAGTGAAGATGAAAAAATGACAAGCCATTTTCAAGCGATTATTGCAAACTATATGAATGAGGTGTGTTTTTCCGAGGAATAAAATAATGAATTATCAAATTGGGATGATGTAGATAATTAATCAAAACCTGACAATGAACTTGATGATCTTTATGGTGAAAGTGTGACTCTGAAAATATGAACATTGATAATTGATAAGCTAATAGAAATTATTAAATACTAGATCATTAGAAGAAAGAAAAGTATAAAACAAATTAGACTTATCTTTACTTCTATTTATTGATAGTCTGTTGTATAAAAATTGAATTTATTGGCAGTAGTGCAATGCTTTTTTTTAAAAAAAAAAAATTTAGATAGGTTCTTTTTTTTTTTTCTTTTTTAAAAAAAGAGAAATTTTTAGATAATTTTTCTTTTTCTTTTCTTTTATTTTTTTTTTCTTTTATTTTTCTGTTGCATATTCATATAATGGGTTATTAAATGTAAGTACCAGTAAGGTTGGATTGAACAATATAAGAATGTTACAAACTGAGATGTTATCCCTTAATATGTAGACCAACGCAGGCAAATTTGTCTGTGTTTTTGCACTTTTTTAGCTCTGATTTACTTTTTTA